ATGGTGGTGGACTGGTGGTTTTGTTCGAGAATATTTATTTTCTTTTTTAATTTACTAGTATCTTACCCGTGCGAAGCACGAGAATCAATTCTCATATCAAAGTGCATTAATGTAAAAACCAACAAATTAAAAAACATCGACAAACAAAAAAAAGTGTTTTCATTTTATCAGCAAAAAGTCTACATAAATAAAAAAGTGTTAATGTTATAAATATCATCCGCTTTGAAATCCCACAACCAACTTCAAGAACTTCAAGAGGAGCAAACGAATCAGTGAACCACTATTTCACATTAATCTAAATGTTGGTAAATTATGACATGAAACTACAATCAAATCTATCATTACAGGACAAATAACATGTTATTATTCATCAATTTCAAAATATAAGTTCAACACATTACTTACACAAAAATATAAATATATAAATAACAAATGAAGATGTATGCATAGACTAATCTTGCACAAAAAACAACATACTCGATTATTCATGGAAAATTATACTCATTGCAAATAAACATGAACATACAAAAACTGCACATGTTTAAGTAACAAAAGATTTGTGAAAATTCAATATTGATCTCATTGTCCTGTCACGTGTTTTAAAACAAAACTCATGTATCATCGGCTTATCTTTAGAGAATATTGCATGTAACATTAGTAAATATCGACATATTATAACTTGAAAAATATTTTTATACCACATCTACTCATAACTCTCGACATTGCAACGTATATTTGCCCATGTGACCTCTAATATTAACAGTAATACTAAACTAAAACCTAATACTTATTCTAAAACAAATACTAATACTAATACTGATATTGATACTAATATTAATACTAATATTAATATTAATACTAATACTTATACTAATACTAATACAAATACTAATACTAATACTAATACGCATACTCATACTCATACTCATACTTATACTCATATTGATGCTGATACAGTGATACTGATATTGATATTAATACTGATACTAATACAATAATACTGATACTAATACTAATATTAATATTAATACTGATACTAATACTTATACTAATATTAATACTGATATTAATACTAATACTAATACTAATACTAATACTAATACTAATACTTGATACTAATACTCATACTAATACTAATACTAATAGTAATACTAAATTTGTATAATGCGTGCAAGTTAAACTCTTACTCATATTAATAATCATACTCTTATACTCACGTTCATCGTCATACTCATACTCGTACTAATACTCATATTCACACTCATACTCATATTCATATTAATACTGATATTATAATTCATACTAATATTTATACGCATACTCATATTGATACTAATATGATACTAATACTTATACTCATAGTCATAACGATATTGATACTCATATTGATATTGATACTAATATCTATGTTAATACTTATACTCATACGCATACTAATATTGATACTCATATTGATATTGGTACTCATATTTATACCCATATTGATACTCATACTTATACAGATACATATTATACTAATACTGATACTCATACTCATACTGATATTGATACTTGATATTGATACTGATATTAATATTGATTAAACTGATATTGATGCTTATATTGTTACTCATACCTATACTGATACTAATATTGATATTGACTAATACCGATATTAATATTAATATATATACTCATACTTATACTAATACTCATACTCGTGCTCATGCTCATGGTCATGCTCATATTTATACTCGTACGCATACTCATACTCATATTCATATACATACTCCAACTCATACTCATAATCATACTTACACTCATTCACGTACCTATACCCATACTCATACCTATAGTAATACTCATACTCATTACTACGTATACTAATATTGATACTAATATGGATATTTATATTAATAATAATACTTATACTCGTATCGATACTCACACAGATACTCATTTTCATACTCATATTGATATTGATAATGATAATAATAATAATAATAAAGATACGAATATTGATACTACTATTGATACTCAACTAATGACATTGCTAATAATGATGTTAATGCTACTAATAATACTCATATTAATTATAATACTCATATCCATACTCACACTCATACTCATAATCATACTCATACTCATATCGGTGTTATATTGTAACACCATTAATGTGATTTATTCAAATTAAAAATACAATTTTTTTTTAATTTATATAATATTTATGCAAAAAAGTATTTATGTACTAACTAATAGGTTGGTAAAATAATTTTCTTAAATCATAAATTGATATGCAAATTAATTTTATCAAAAACAAATATTAAAACAATGCAGGAATTATTAACAAAATTAAACGTCATAGTAAAACTACGAATAAATAAAAATAGGTAAAATAATAAAATAATAGAAATGATTCATATAAATAATTTATTCATGTAAAAAATTAGTAAAAATATTATCAAAATCGTTTGACAATATAATCCTATTACGGTTAAAATTTATAATAGATTAAAAAAAATTAAAATAATAATGCCTTTTATTAATAATTTTACTTACGAAATACTAAATGGAATAATATAAATAATGTTCTTATATATTACTTAATATTAAACAGTTACCAGAAATTTTAAAAAAATAAAAAATGCATATTTGGTGGAAGTATAATATTTATAATAAAAAGAATGTGTAATATAATAGGCATTAAATATATGGAACTGATAATTAAAAATTGGATTTTATGGATGGAATCTTGTAATATTCAAATGCATTAATTAAAAATAATGGATCAATTATAAGAATATAAATAAAACGACATTGAATAAAATAAAAAATAAAACAAAAATTGCGAGAAAAAGTAGAGTAGTGCTCGGTTTATTTTTCAGTACAGTTAATTTCACAAATAAAAAACATATTTTCTTAATATAATTCTTTGATATGTAAAATCAGAGTAAAATAATTCTATAGCATTCCTTTTCTTTTTAGGAAATTTTTCCATGTCATTCTTAGATGGCGTTTTTTTTAATTCATATTATAAATAATAAATATAGATAACACATTCTAACAAACAAATTCATAAACTAATTAGGTAACTGAAAAGAATTAATAAACGGTTGACCATACTCAAAATCCTAATACATTATATAAATATTCAAATAATTATAAAATATTTGAAAGAGTATGATAAAAAAAAATTAATGAGCAGTAAATAATTATAACATTATTTAAAGGAATATGTAAAAAAAATTAGTTGAACAATAAATAATTATAAAAATATTTAAAAGAATATGATAAAAAATAGTTAATGAAAAGTGTAGAATTATTAGTAATTCTAACTTAGTTCACTATTTTCCAAAACTTTTCCATCAACAAAAAGAATTTATTGTATTTTACCATTCATACAATACTAAAAATATTTCAAAACATTTCACCATACAAACAATACTATAAACTCATTTAAGTATATAAATAATTAGTACATATACGTAAATAGTATTATATTTAAATGAGGTTATTGCAATAAAAATATTGGACCAAGTGTATGCGTCACTATGTGGGTTATTTCTAAATTAACACAAAAATAAAAATCATTTTCACGTAAATCATTTCATTTCATGTAAATCATTGTGTGGGTTATTTCATGTAAATCATTTTTCATTTAAAAAATGGAAAAAAATAAATAAAAATTAATTCAAACACATTATTTAAATTTTATAAAAATTGAATGGATTCATTAAATCATTAAAATGAAATAACAATGAATGGTAAATCGAATTCTATTTAGAAAACAATGCAGAAATGAAAGCAAAACCATAAAATAAAATTGGAAATTATTGAATAAAATTTATATAAAAATAAATAACATAAACCTGGAAATTGTTTTAAAAATGAAAGCAAAACCATAAAATAAAACAATGAATCTACAATTTTTACATGTATTGGTATTTGCGACTTTACAATTTGTATAGGGGATTTAAGAAATGTAAACAAATAAATACATGTAAATTTCCTGTACAAATTACATGTTGCAAATTCCAATACATGCAAATAATAAAATAACAATTCGAAATTCGATATAATCAAATAATACCATACAAACAAATGAAAAAAAAATATTTAGTTTACCAAAAAAAAAACAGATGAGGAAAACGACTAAACACTATTATACTCTCTTGTTGCCGTAAAGTTGGATGGTGGTGACACTTGAGGTGTGGTATGAGAATTTTATACTTGTGTTTGCATCATAAAAAAATAAATAATATTTAAACTTGGTATAAAATAATCAACATTGAATATACATTGCAAAGATTTTGTGAATCGTAAATTGAAATTTTAAAATGAAGTACAAAATAACCAATCAAGTTATTATTAAGGCGGATTTGACGGATTTGGTAAAATAATAATTTGGTGGAATGACAAATCATTTGCTTAAATAAGATAAATTAATAAAGAAGAGAAAATGTAATATATATATATATATATATATATATATATATATATATATAAGGAAAGCAATGGGAGAATAAGGAATACATTGTAATTAAAAGACAAAAGAAAGTATGGAGACCAAAATTAAAGGAAAGCCGTGTCTCTCTCTCTCTCTCTCTCTCTCTCTCTCTCTCTATATATATATATATATATATATATATATA